CTCTCTCTCTCTCTCTCTCTCTCTCTCTCTCTCTCTCTCGGATGCCTGCTTTTTCCTTATGTCATATAATTCTACTGAGACTTTCGTGGTACAATGAAACCCCTCTATGTGACATGAGTCATCCACCTGGACCATTCAATAATAGGAAAAAGTCATAGGGAAAAGGAAAAGGTATGGGGACAGATGATTTTCCAGTTTGTTTTGTTGAATTATAATGTTTTTGTTTAGTGAGGACTCTTATAATCATAAGCTTAATCAGAAACTGTTGGCTCTTTTACAAGGGGTTCCAGGTTGTTGGGGTTGTCAAATAGCCAAGTGAAAAATTTGTGTAACAAACTTATATTTGTTTGAAAAATAAAGTTGCATTCACAAAATGGTCCAGCAGAATAGAATAGTATATATTTCAATCCAGATACTTGTTGCGTGAAAGTGATTAATGATAATAGATGTGTTCTATGTAAATCATGAGCATTGTACATTAAGTTATTTGCATGTGGTGTCGCTTGGTTTTTATATGTTTTCTGATGAAATTTTGATAATCAAGCTTCATATTTTTCTTTATTTTTGGATTTTCAGACAATTAGCTACATGGCTGAACGCATTGTTGGGCAAGGATCATTTGGAGTAGTATTCCAGGTATTATATCGCATTGTTTTTCACATTGGAAAAGAGATGCATACTGGATACTACTGTTCTGCATATTATTGGTTACTGATAGTCAAATATCAGTATTTCTCAACATTTTCTTGCTTACCCAGGCAAAATGTCTAGAGACTGGTGAAACAGTTGCAATAAAGAAGGTTCTTCAGGATAAGAGGTATAAGAACCGCGAGTTGCAGACAATGCGTCTCCTTGACCATCCAAATGTTGTTTCTTTGAAGCACTGCTTCTTCTCAACAACAGAAAAGGATGAACTATATCTCAATCTGGTGCTTGAGTATGTCCCGGAAACTGTTCATCGTGTGATCAAACACTATAATAAGTTGAACCAGAGAATGCCTTTGATTTATGTTAAGCTGTACACTTACCAGGTATTGGTCCCTTTTTTTCTGCTTTTTTATTTTCGATGAGCTATGTGAATGATGCCCATCTTTGGTAATGTTTGATTTACTCTGTTCGTAATGTTAAAGGCTGCCAAGTTACGTACCAATATTACTTATTGTTATCTTTTGTGCTTATCAAATTCACGTGGAGTTTTTATCTAATACTTATTCTTTGATTGTTGGGTTCTTTTTTTAAAGTTCTTTCACTAATCAGATGATAATGTTAATGAGTCGACATGACTGGTATGCCGGTACTCATTGTGAAGATGATAATGTTGTTATATGGCAGATTTTCAGAGCATTGTCTTACATTCACGGTGTTATCCGAGTATGTCACAGGGACATAAAGCCTCAAAATCTATTGGTACGTTTGGTGTTTTCATTGTTTATAGCCTTATCTCATATTGCCTCGTTTGTCTCTTTTATCTTGCAACGTGCCAGAATTTTGTACATTTGCTGCCATCAACATTCATTCATTGAGTTGGAGGATTCTGCCTCTTTAATCTTTCTGCTGTTTGATAAATTGGATGCATGTGCATGAGAATTGGAAATTTCATGTAATGTTCCCTTTCTAACTATATTCTCAAAAAAATTCTTCAAAGCTATAAAGTGATGACATTATGTGATAGAGTTAATGGTGAAAGCAAACGAATATAATAGATAATCGATATTATAACCCTAATGGATATTCTATGCAAATTGTCCCAAAAGCCCAATTATTGAAATAAATGAAATAACAATTGATCTCAAACATTATGCAGGTGAATCCTCATACCCACCAGGTCAAATTATGCGATTTTGGAAGCGCCAAAGTTTTGGTATGTAAAGAATCAATCACAAAACTTCAGTTGGAGTCAAGTGGGTGTTGACTTTTAAGATCAATTTTCTTCGGCAGGTTAAAGGAGAGCCCAACATCTCTTATATCTGCTCTAGGTATTATAGAGCACCCGAACTTATTTTTGGAGCGACTGAGTACACTACTGCAATCGACATATGGTCTGCTGGTTGCGTGCTTGCTGAGCTGCTTCTTGGACAGGTACATGTGTATCAACATGTATGTTGGTTCTGTCCTTTTCCACTTAATGCCTCCAGATAAATAACTATTCTTAGATTTTGCTTTTTCAGCCTCTGTTTCCTGGTGAGAGTGGTGTAGACCAGCTTGTCGAGATCATCAAGGTACTTTCTCCCTCCCTCTCT